CCTCTCACTGTACTGCAGCACTAGTACTCCCAGTTCCCTTGCACGCAGAGGCAAATACAAAGCACACAGAAGGCACTTCTTACGCTGGCTTAAGTTTCTCAGGTAGGTGCAATCCCACCCAGCACAGGTTCTCAGGACATTACTTCCTTCGAAATATTGGTCCTGGACAGAAGGAGTAGTCAGGCACATGCAAACTTCAAGCCATAGGTGGGTTTGGGTTTTTTGTTTTGGTGTGTTCTTTTTAAAGGTCTAAAAGCATCTGCAGAATTATTCTATTCTGTGTTCATATTCTTCAAATCTTCTCCTAAATAATGTGTACTTTCACTAGTTAACAAAAAACTTCACCCTACACAGCATACTCATTCTTGTCTATAAAGACAGACTTCCACATTAATTTTATTAACAGAAACCAGAACTAATATTACACAAAACCATTTATTTCTGATTTTACTTCAGGGTTTTAAAAATTTATTAATGTTATTCCTCATAGAGGTTGTACCTCTAAACACGAGCTGTCTGCCTATATGACACACAAAAAGGAAAGACTGAAAGTAACATCAGGGCAATTACAAAATTTTTCTACCCAGCTGGGTATACACTCAGGCAAATACACTCTAGGAAATGGGGAAGAATCATGAGTAGTTTATCTTTCTTACAGCAAGCATTTCAAATTACATGCCACTCTGTCATGCACTCAAAGAACATTTCAATTTTTCTTCATAACTATGAAACTTCTGAAAAAAATTAAATTATGTTCTCAAACTAGTGACTCCCAAGAGTCCGAGCCCTACATGTTGCTGTAAAGGATATTCAGAAATTCAGTTTACTCTACATGCAAAGTAGCTGGCTTACCTGATGAGAAAAGGAGAACTGCATGTTTTGGAAGGTGGCTACAGAAGAAATCTCTAGGTTCTGGGCTTGGTTATTTCTGTCCTAGCATAGTAGTAAGACCTTTAAGAAACAGTTTTTCTTTCACTTTCTCAGATCTCCCATGCTGTAAGAACTTTTATTCACATGGTTTTTGGATTACCAGTTAGGTGTTGTTCTCAGATTGTTGGAAAAAAGTATGAAGAATCAGGTTGTATTCCGCTCGTTTGAAAAGAAGAAAGAGAAAGGTGCCAACATGCCAGTACAGATCCATACTGGTGATTGTACCTTAAATTAAATTCTGCCTTAAATTAGATACTGATTATGTGTTCACAAAGCCAAGCTCACATGTGGTCTCAATCCTCTCTCCAAAGACCAGGTTTCCTTGGCTTACATGTGTGGCAAAAACTGACCACTGATCCTGACTAATAATGCCTTTGTTTTCTTTAAGCTATCTTTCTTCAAAGCTACTCACTTATGCAAAAGTTCTTTGGCAAGACTAAAGCCCCAGGCATTCTCCAAAAAGTCCAAATTAGTTAAATTGAGAGAAATGGAATGTAGTTTTCATCCTTTTATGAAGTCTGGCAGGCTTAGCTGTTCAATGTTTAATTTAAACTACTTAATTCTAACAGGAATATATTCAGTTTAGTTCTGATTAACTTCTTCATGCATTCTAACAAGCATCTAATAGGTATTTTCAAGATTTATTTCTAGCAGATAGTTGTGTTTGGGTTGGCTTCTTTAAAAAAGAACTACTGAATAACCTTATAACCACAAGAATCCCATCAACTAATTTCTAACATAGTTCCCATGTATGTATGAACACACTACGGAAAACAGTTCAGCCTTCTGAACTGTTGCTTTATACAAGTCAGATGCTACAGACTTTAATTTCTTATTATGGAATATTAAATTTCATATCATTAATATTTTATAATGTCTAAAGTATTTGGCAGTTATAGCAGTGTAGTATACACAAGGGTCAAAGGATTAATTCATAAGCAAAAAGAACAAAATATTCTCTGGCAAGTGGGATTAAAGTATAATGAACACAAAATCAGTGATTTCTGCATAATTAAAATTGATGAAAAAGTTTCAAGGTGCTACAGCTACAAACAACAACTTTTATAATTAAAAGATGAACAAGAAAGCATGATATAAACATGACTGAATTTGTGAGCACTCATAGCCCTAACAGAAGGATGGCTTTAGGACACTTTCTCATTTCACTTCTGTTAAATTTTATTTCCACAAGGGAAATGGGATGTATGAATTGCTGTAGTTAAGCTTCATGCTTTTCCAAATGGAAGAATATGAAAGACATTGTTGATTCAGGCACTCCAAACACTATTAATACAGGCTTCCACCCAGAATTTGTGTCTCTTATACACCTTAAGACTCTTGATCCAAAGCTAAAAGGTCATCCTAAACCTCCTAGCAAGTATAAACTGAAGTCTCTTGAAGTTCATAGAAATACTCCATCTGCTGTTGTACTGAGATTTCCAGTTGGTCAACTCCTTAAGTGGAGAAGAGCATCTTTTTGAAATAGAACAGAGCAAGTACTATTGAAAACAGTCCTTCCTTAAAGGTATACTGTGTGAAGGCATTCCCAACACTGCAAGTTACTATAAAGGGTTCCCTTGACCTGAAACTACTTTTGATAGCTATTGCATTCCCAAGTCTAGTTCTGAAAAGATCCAGAAACCACTTCTAATCCCACCAAAAGACAAACTGCCAAAACACTAATCTAAAATTCTTTAGATACGAGTGGTCACAGCCACTATAGTAAACAATCTGGCACAGAAAGACCAGAACAACAGATGAAAGTAGCCTTTAATGAGCTTTCCCATCTATACTGTATGCAGTTCAAGAATGTTGATTCAGACTATACTTAGCCTGGTCTCCTGGACCAAATGTGCTTTTAAGCTGCTAGGAGAATCAATCCTGGTGATGGATTCTTATGTCCTCCTTGGGGCCAGAAGCACATTTGGTACACATCTGGATCAGAGGTTCTGGTTCAGTTTCCTCCAAAACATATCCATGGATATGTTGCATGGATAGCAACATCATTCTGCATTCTCTTCAAAACTGTCCTACTGCTTTCAATCAAAACCCTAAAGGAGAGGTAGCCAGTACATACTACAGGAAAGCTGGGGAGGGACGTTTTACAAGGCCTTGTAGCAAGAGGAGAAGGGGTAATGGTTAAAACTGGAAGAGGGGATTCAGGTTAGACATTAGGAATAAATTCTTCAGTGTGAGGGTGGTGAGACACTGGAACAGGTTGCCCATGGAAGCTGTGGATGCCCCACCCTGGAAGTGTTCAAGGCCAGGTTGGATGGGGCTCTGAGCAACCTCAGGTAGTGGGACGTGTCCCTGCCCATGCAGGGCGGGTAGATCTAGATGATCTTTAAGGTCCCTTCCAACTCAAACCATTCTATGATTCTGTGATACTACTGTGTTGATTTTCTAGGCTTTTTATCTACTCATAAACTTCTCTGCTCCAACCTCATTTCTGGAGTTTATTTGTGGCTCTCAACCCTTTCTTAGACTTCTCAATTTTTTTCCATTTTTGCTTTTTCCCGCTGAACTCTTGCAGTAACTTCTTTCTCTAAAAGTCACGTTCAAATAATACATGCCAGCTAAAATCAAACACTCAAAAGAACAAACTTTTTTCATGAAGTATTTCTACTATCCTAAGATAACACTTCTTTTATGTAACAAATGTTGCAACTCCTCAAGTTCAATATCCATTCAAAAGTGAACTTTTGTCTTACAGGTCAGGATGTTACTATTTTTCTAGACATTTTACTTAAAAATAATCAAGTTCCTCCAGCATCTATGCTCATGATGATTACACACAACTGTATGTTAACTCATTATATCATTAGATGATGGTACAGATGAAGAAATGTTCCTGAAACACTAATTTTTGTCTCAGGTGTCATCCACCTTTGTCAACAGCAGTCTCTGAAGTAGGTTAAAATTATGTGGATATGAAGCTATTACTTCACCCACTACCAAGTGTGTGTACATTGAAAGCTCATTGCTTTCTGAACCTAAGTAGGGTTCTTAGCTACTGGTGTTTCTGTGATACCTCTGTCCCACAGTCAAACCCCATGTGAAAGAGTTTGATGCGTCCAGGGCACACCTTGCTTAGAGACACCATGCTGTGGAGACAACACAACATGAACATAAGGAAGCCCAGCCCTAGCCACTGGCATCAGAAGTGTTAAGCAAGTGCTAATGGGTTGCAGGAAGCCCCTAATGACTCCTATGTTTTATTGTAGTGTGGCACTACTTAAAAGAAGCTTCCTGAAAACAATCTTAAGTGTTTTCTAACTTCTAGAAATTCTCTAGTTAATAACCTCTTTTGCTGATGGCTTTAGTTGCAGGTACTTAAATCCTGAAAGGGTTGTCTTGAGGTTCTCCAGAACTCTCAGTTATCCTATGCCTACTGGAGAGGAGATGCTCATTAATGCTTTTGCCAGTGGCAAACCCGATCAGACTTATGTCACTGACGACAGTTTCATCAATCGTATTAAGAAGTGATGCTTCAGTCCAAGGTCCTGGGACTGGTGAGTCCTCAAGACACAAGGCGTTCCTATCATACCAGCACGATTCAACTTGCTGTCCAAAAAACAGATCCAGTTGCCTTTGATCTTCAAAGATGACAGGGAAGAGCCTTTGAGGCAGCCAAATGCGTCTTTCTGCATTACCAGATTGCTACAGAGACAGGCAGATGGGTGGAGCAGCCTTTGCGTTCCTACCAGAGAAGCAGTCCAGCTCTGTGTTAAATTACAGCAGCACAGGAGAGTACATATGGCAAGTGGGAGAAGAGATCCCAAACTCAGCTGTGCAGCTGCTAGGTGGGACTGCTCTGCTCATGCACACACTGATGAGACACTTGTTTTGATACACTGAATTCAGAAGGAGCCAGTCACTCAAACAGCAGAACTGGACATCAAATAACCTGCTTCAAGGGGACCTTGCCCTAGTACCTGGCTACATCCCACATTTGGAAGTATTTTAATACATCTGTGTGAACCTTTAGGACAAGTCCAAGTCAACTGTAAGCAGAAATGCACAAACAATGAAAGTTACATTTCTACAACCGAAAGAATAAAATCTCTTACCTCACCAAATGCACCTCTTCCAATCACTTTTATAATTTCAAAGTCATCTCGATGGAGTTGCATTTCCTTTACCAATTTTGTAAATGGTCTTGCTGTTTCAGGAAAAAAAAAAAAATCAATTACGAAGAGAAATATTGTAAAATAAAATAATCCATAAAGCAATGGTCAAAAGTACTACTCATTGCATGCCCACTGCAATATTATTTTTTCAACTACTATTAGAACTATAGAAGGAAAAAATTAATTATAATATTTAACTATATATTTTTTTTCAAGTACAATTCTATGGTTGGTCCTGCCTTGGTGACAGCAGTTAAAGAATGAAGTCATCTTTCAGAAGGATTTTCCCCCCCTTACTTTAGGATTTTGTGAATGAGTGAAGGACCATGTGAATGGGAAATCCTAGAGAAAACCTATTCTATCCTTCAGCCACTAAAACAATTCTCTCAGTAAGCAGAGTTCAGCTTTACTTTTTATTATTTCAGCTAGTACCAGCTAAAGTTTTAACAACCCACTCTCAAGAGATAGCTGTCTCTACTCAATAGCAACAAAACCATTTCCTACAGGATCTAAGGCTAATTTAAGATTTTTACTTTGAACTATTGTTTCTGTTAAGCAACATTCACCAGATCTCAAACAGAACAAGTATTGAAAGGCTGCAGCTGAAAAGATGCCCAGCAACTAACTAACCTACACATACTTCGTTCTGGTGGAATCAACTGAATACAAAACTGTTCTCAAAATACCTGGTTGATAAATCCTACTGTACCTGCAGAGCCCATCAATTTTCTACTCTCCAGTTTCCATTCAGAGTATTTTATTTATTTCTTGCATAGCACGGGATGAAGATTATTGTTCAGAGAAATTCACTACTTGATTATGAAGACCAAATCAGTAAGGGTAAAAAACAGTGCAAGCTAAACAGCGCAAGAGTAAGTATCGTGCCTACAAAGATGCAGTTCACACTTGTAACTAAGCACAACAAAAATTGCTCTTCTTTACCTCATCACAAACATTATAAGACTTAAAATACATGAATTTTTCCCACTTGCAACTAAATAAAACATCACAGAACTACTACATGTAATTCAGCCCAGACTCCCGTTTTCCCTCACCTTACATTATGATTAAGCTAATGAGTTAAAAGCCAAACAGAACTCCTAGAAGAGGGGTCACTCGATGATGTTATTTCAGATGTTAAAATAAACAAACCAAACCTCACACACAGAAGAAACACAAGTCTGAACCAGAGATTACAGACTTCAGTATGAAGTCTAAGAAAGCCTGAAAACCTCTCTGTAAAGATTCATATAACAGCTAATAAAAGGAAGAAACAGCTGCTCTGAAGAACATCTATTCTGATTCCTTGTACTTTGGAAATGCATTATTGAAAAGATTTCCTCTGAAAATAATACTCCTTCACTGGATGTTTCTTGTCCATACAAAATATGAAATTTAAAAATGAGACCACACTAGGTTTTCTGCTAGATTCCTCATCTCAACTGAGCAGAAATGCCTACCCAGTCTCCCCTACCACAAGGCCATTGACACTATTAACCCCAAGCCCCAAATTATTTCTAACAAACTTAGCCAGCAACACCAACTGAAACCAATTAACAAACCTACACCAGTCCAATCAGACATCTACACAAGTACAAACCCCTGCCAACGGCTGTGATTTGTATTGAATATTTTACCTCCTTCCCTTCCCATCCACTCAGAACAGACTGAGGAAACGCCACTAGAGATAAGAAATATATGTGAAAGTTCCATTATCAAGTTATGGATTGCTATTACAGAAGGGAGACTATTAGACTAATTCTGCAGAACACCCAGCTTCAGGTATTAAAGTTCAAGATGAGGGGAAATAAGACCAGTAATTTTAATTCTGAGGGATACTAACCTAAGAATATATACATTTTAAAATTAAATAACCAATTTTAGCAGTAATTCTAGTCAGTAAACAGAATACAAAAAAAAGTATTCCCTCCTAGAAGGAAGTTACTATTTTCACAAGCTATTTGTGTACTTAACTAATGTTGGCTTTTAGTATTTACCAGTGATGGTGTTCAGAAGCACTGCAACTTCAGTTATGTCTCTTTTGGAAAACTAAGCAACAAACATGAATATCTGCCTGTGCAGAAAAATATTATTTTGGAGAGGACTTCCTCTGAAATGAAAAAATTCAAGTCCTTCTCCAGGGATCCAAGATCCCTTAAAAGTAAGTAAAATTTGAAAATACAACCTAATATCCACAGAATCTCATCATCATATAGTCTACAAAATAGGTTACACTGGAGACCGGAGCTCAGAGGAGGCAACACACCAGTAATTAATTTTAACTCATACTTACTTTATTGGCATTTTAGAGTAAAACACTTTACACCAGGATGTGACCTGCTGCTTTTAAGTACCAGATTGCACAATCTTTACCTCTTAGTAAGTTAAATAAAAAAGTATTTCCAATTTGCTTTCCTGCTCTCCCCCAGGAGGTTCCTCAACTCTCTACTACCTAGATCACAACATAGGAAAAACTGAGTGAACAGAAGCTTGCACCAAAAATATCAGTGAGCTGTGTTTGCTGTGCTTGGCAGAATGATGCCAAGTGATATACCCACCGCTATATAAATGGTAAAAAGTTCTATGTTATTTCACATACCACTATTTTATAAACAGAGAACTCAAAGCAAACTTCTCTTAATATACTGGAATGAATCATTACACTTTACTGATTAGTTTTAATACTAATATTAAAAGTGGGAGCTACAATTTGTAGTTAATACTTAATGAAAGTATTTCATCATGGCAAACAGAAGCATTAGTTGTACTGGGGGTTTTGACGGCAGTGATTACTGAATTTTTTGTTATATATACTGTTGTCAAGGTAACATTAGCCGAGAATAACTGCAAGAGCTTGTTTATTCATGACTGTGAGGCTGTAATCAGAATTGGGATAGCCATTCTGCATGAAATACATTTGCATGCATCACTGCCTTTTTTCTCCAGCTGATTTTGCATGATTGTGCTTACACTTGTCTGGAAGAAGGATGTTCTCCATAAGGCCACACAGAAAAAAACCCAACATAACAGACAACTAATCTTAAGAAGCCAAGAGATATAAGTTCTCAAGAATACAATACAAAACATTAACAGTCAATGTGTTGACCAATATTCACAACGGGAACTGAAATGCCAGCATTTCTTCATTGAAAACAAAGGTATGTATGAAGACACACCACAAA